AATATTACAAAAATGGAGACTCATTTTTTGTAAGAAAGGTAAGTCTCTTTGAGCAATCTAGTCTGGAGGCAGAGCTCTAGAAGCTGGTTTAATGGCTTAAGAATCCAGTACATCTAGTTCTGTTACAATGATAAAAGGTATAAATTAAGTAATTTTGGTTCTCTGTAAAATACTTTAAATTGCATTGCATCTTAATGGTTTGGTACTGCATCTACATATGATGAGTTTCATAAAAAAGCAGGAGAGAAATGATCAAGACATCGTTGTGAGGTTTATCATCATGCCAAACATAACAGTGGAACTTGCAGAACTCTCTTATAAGTTATTCAAGATTGCGATTATCATAATGAGTTTGTAAATGTCCAATGTCATTTGCATTATTTCTCTCAGTCATTTCCATGACATAAATAGCATTGTCTCCCTTTCTAAAATAAATTAGTCATGACAAAACTCATTTTCACTGGCTCAGTCATCAACATAAGACTATTTTCTAACTTATTACTATTGTGCAGATCAGTGACACTGGGGTAATAAAATCTATGTTGTGAGTAAACTGGGGTAGGATGCCTGCCAGGAATCCATTATTTTTAATTTAGAAAACTATTCAAGTGTTAAAGCATCCATTTCAGGATTTGTAGCTATATGATCTCCAATTCCAAAGTGAGAAGAAAGCATGTTCTCAGGCTGTTGCCTTTGAAACTCTGTAGTAAGTCTCTAACAGGAAAAAATACCCAAACCACTGAGCTCTTTTGGCAATAAAATTAGGGCAAAATCTCGCAAACTCTTTTTACCCATGTGAATCAGAATTGCAAGGACACAATAATTTAAAAGGGAGTTTTTACTTGTATGGTGTTCAGTCCTACTGAAGCATCCTCATTGGGTTCAGTGAATCTGGCTGCTTGAGTGAGAGTTACTCTGGTGTGAAAGCACAGTGTGCTCACACCCACAGTTAACAGCATTAATCTCATTAATGTTCCAGCTTCTTTTCAGTAGAAAAATATATATTGTGTGGAGCATGAGCAGCCTCAGTATTGCATGCCTGTCAATTCTGATAAGTGTCTTGCTGCAGAAAAGTAAATCTATTTCTGCAGCAAATGTGAGAATGCCTCCTTTTGTTCATGGAGGTGCCAACGTGGTCTAGACTGGCACTGACAGATACATGAATCTTCCAGGAGCAAACAAGCAATCAAATGTTAAATAGTCTCATGGTGGTTGTATCTCCCCAGCACTGGCAAATAGATGTGAGTAAATCAATACCAGAAAACCCATTAGAAACCCTTTGCCACGTTGCTGTATTTCCAGGTAGGCTTTCCAATTTCATTGCCTTGTTGGAAGGTTCTGTACACCACACATCAGCGTATGTTAGTGAAGTACCTCAGAAGTACCCATGCCACTAGCTTACTTCAAAGTCGTCACATTCCTTTAGTATATTAATGCTTCCAGAAATAAGAAACTTCTCAAGATTATAATGTATTTGCACCGTAGGAAAAAAAAATCAGATGTATGTATTTATGCAAAAATATTTATTCTTATTAACATAATCAGTGTGGTGTGGAATAGGGTATTAATAAAACAGTAGGGTTTGGGGTTTTTTCACAGAACATGACATTTTGAGAATTCACTTGTAGAAAAGAACACGATTGCTGAAAATGTATTTAAGAAGCCCACAAATGATGAAAATTTATGAAGTCATACAAGCTCCAGAGGAGGGGGTTTTGTGCATAAAATAATACTTTCCTAGAATTTTTAATTTTTATTGCTAAAGTTCTGTAATCACAATTGGTACTCAACAGATTTATAGAATTATCACTTGGGATTATTTCAGAATAGTTATTTATATGCAATCTTAGCAATACAGTTTTCAGGAGGTACAAAAAGTCCTTGAAACCAAAGGACATGAATAAGATTTAATAATGTAGGTGGACAAATAGTAATTAAGTAACCTCTGAAGAAACTCCTAGCATGAGCTAATTAAAATATAAATGCAATGCCTCTCACCTGCTGCTTGCTGCCCTAAATCTCTTATGCAATAGCACTATTTAGCACATCAGACTGAGGAGCCAGTACATGCACTATGATTTTAGAGAACAAGAAATTTTTTAGGTGAGTTGCCTCTTTGTACAGATATGAACGGTGAACCAAACCAGCTACGTGAACGCTTTAAAGCAGAAAAGTTGCATTAGCTGTGGTTGGCCACAGTTTGAGAGAGACTCCAATAAAGATTACTAGCTGAAAATCATTTTATCCATTCTTTTTTACAGCGGCAGCAGCTGAATAGATTGTTCTCTCCCTAAATTGCTCAGATTCAGTCATACACTGCAGTTCTCATGAAATGTCTTTGCATAAGCATCGCACAACACAAAGTAGTACGGGAGTGTTATTGAGGTGAAAATGGGAGTCTGGACACGTGCTAGATCACACTGCTGGCCTTTAGCAGCCTTTCTGTTGACCAATCAATAGGTCTTTAATAGCGAGAGTAGATGTTGTGGCTATCAGTCTGGTATGGGTACGCCGCCCTATTGAACTCCTTTCTTGATGTGTTGATTTATGCTCAAAAGCAAGGTCAAGACAGTCAGCTACTATGTGGCTTCCCACATGCTGAAGAGAATAATAACAGTGGAGACTTGGAGCTGGAAGAAAGAGGGAAGCTGTCGGAATCAGTCGATGCTGATGGTTTTACTGGAGCAGATACTCAGTTGGGGTAAATCAGTGCTTTTTCACTGAAGCTTAGATGGGGCTACAGAAGATAAGGATCCGTCACAGTATTTAGAACAAATGTATAGTTTGGATCCATGTTGCTGTGCCATTATTTCAACCAAATGTCAGCTTTTGCAATGCTTTTTGAAGAGGAGGGGAAAAAAGTGGAATAATGTTACATTCACATAGAAGTAATTTTGTTTTTTCCTTAAATTCTCTAGTGTCAAAATCTTACAAAAAAGTTTTCTTGTGAATGGGAGAAAACAAATTACTTTGAAAGATGTAGTCCATGAGTCTAGAAATAAGTACTCCCCCTTCCCCAAAATAAGATGAAAAATATTGAACCAGTTGTTTCTACTGAAAATACTAGCAATGGGATTGCACTAAATGCCCTGTCAATTAGCCTAGAAATGGGGTGGGTAGGAAATCCCTCAGAGGTGGATTCTTGAAATTTCAGAAGAGAGAGAAGTAAATGTCAGCATCACTGTGTATGTTTGCAGGTCTCGATGCAATGATACCCTTCCGTAGTGGAGGCAGCCCAAGCTGTAAAAAAAAAAAAAAAAAGCTTAACTGAGTGCTTTGCCATTTCTATATATCTCATTTGAAAGATCGGAATTAAGAATCAGTTCATGACTTTCTCATTCTTTACAGTTTTCATTCTGTGTTTAAAAAAAAAAAAAAAGTCAACATCCACCAGAGCAAGGGCAATAGAGATTGGGGACCTAACTTAGTCTACTGGATGAGGCCCTTGGTCTGTATTGCCTTTGGAAAGAAAGAGAGGGGAGTCTTCCTCCCTGTGTGGACTAGAGAGTTCCTAGCAACCATGCTTCTGCAGACTGTAGGCACAACTGACTGGGAAACTAGTTTATTTCAGTTAAAAATTAAAAGTAAAATTAAAACAGAAATATAGGACACAGTTAATGTGCTTTGTAGTTTTTCATGAAGTGTGGAAAACACCCATTAGGCCAATGATTAAAATATGAAGCTGTTTTGAGGGAGAAAATGTATAACGTCAGCCTAGCAGAGCTAGGATCCCTCTAGTCCAAACAGGGAGGAAGGCTCCCCTCTCTTTCTCTTTTACTCAAATTGAAAAAAAAAAAATCTGTGTACACTCCCATTTCTTTCAAAGTTGGCAGATCCTGGGCCTGAGTCATAAAGCAAATAATCCTTCTCTCTTCTACCAGTGTATACTGTTTGTTTTCCTCATGTAAGTAAGCTTGATGTCACTTCCAGTATGAAGAAAATAGCCAGGATTTGTCCATACAAACAAGTCATTGCCCATGAGACAGGCTGATGAGAATTGCTCTCCTCTTTGGTCCAAACAAATTGATCTTCCCCATGTCACCTTGACGTGAAACCATATGCAGATGTCTTCACAGCTACCAGCTGTCCACAGCCTGGTGTCTCATTTCTGAGACTGGAATGTTAAAAAGCAGAGTCAATGGAATAATTTTTATAGGTCCATCAAGCCCTTAGGAGATTACATTTCTAGCAAACAGGCTGCAGGAAATCCCCTTGCAACTGTCTTTAACAGCAGTATTAGGCTTGATATTACTATCCACGTCCTGGAAACAGTGAGTGAAACACGGAGTAATAGCTCTGATTGCTTTTTTTTAAAGCTGTGACTGTGCCACTCCTGTTTCTGGGGAGATCCCACTCAACACCCAGGTCTGTTTCACAGCCTTGTGTGCTCTCAAATTAGACTACATGCTTGTGTACGTCAGGAAATGTCCTTGTGATGAAGACAATCAGCCAATTCATTCCATTTAGCAATCCAGACAAATAAATTATAGAATTGCAAAAGAGGCTATGAAAAGACCTCACCAACCATAAGTGGTAAATAAGATCTCAGCTCCTGTTGATTAAAATGTAACTGAAGGCATGATCAAAACCACCACCTGGAAGATATATGGTGCGTGGTCTTTGCTTATCAATCCTACCAACATGGTCAGTTCATTTACTACAGCGTAGCATGTTTTGTTTCTGGATTATATGCCTCTTGCTGTCACTTTTCTTTTAATGGTTGTCCTTTCTCTAAAAACCTTTGGGATCCAAAAGCAGACCCTAGCTGTGAGCCTGCCCTTGTGTGCAGGTGAGCATCGTGTCCAGGCTCAGCTGGCTGATGGACTGCAACTGGCTGCTATGCTATTTGTGGGGAGTGATGGCTTGTGTGGCAGCAAATCAAGTGTGTAGATGCCTACAGAGATGTGCCTGCTAGGAACTGCTTGTTGTTTCATTGGGGCTGCAGTAATGTAAAACAGCTGAGGCTCAAATCTCTAAATTCTCATGGTGCTGAAAGAAAGAGTGACAAAACAGTCCTGGAGACTTGACGACTTGTATCTGTTAGGGACAATCTGGTATTCCTACAGCACAGGTCTTGCTCCAGTAAGTCAGTCTCACCTTTTTCTACCTAAATATAAATTGTTAACTTCACAGGATATGCTTCACCTAAACTTATTAAGAGAAATGACCTTGTAGATTTTCTCAATATTTCCGGCTTTATCTCTGCAAATGAGAAACTGGGACGAGATCCTGCACTTTGAGGATGACACTGTACTGCTGTTGCAAAGTAATAAGCACTGACGTATCTGGTCATATCTTGCTGAAAAGCTGCAGCTTTCTAGGGTTTGTGGCTCTGCAGCATTGAAGATGATTCCCAATGTCTTCATTTCTCAGGCCATCTACAAATCATGGGCATTGCTGAAGATAGATATGTCAGAGATTGCAAACTGCTTCATTTCCCAATATTGATTGTAAACTTGGGGAAATTTGAATTATTGGAAGTCTAACTCTTCAAATACAAAATAAATGGGGGGGGGGGTGTTATTCTTTAATTTGTAAGAAAATAAGAGAGGTTGGTAATAAATATAGAGAAAATAAGATACAAAAATTATGTGAAGGTCTAGGAAAACTTGGAAAGTTGTACTCTGCAGTCCTGACTGGGAAACATTGTAGCTAGAAAAATACATGCTGCATGAGTTAAAAAAATTATTATTAGACTATTGCTTTTTGAAATGAGTGGTGAAAAAAAAAATTAGGAAAGTGCAGAAAACATTGGGAAGCAAAATAGTACGCAGGGGAAATATTTTGTAAGAATGGAGGATAGCAGTGGACTTGGAAAGAGAAAAATTCTTGAAAACCATCGGGCTGTAAATGAGCAAGGCTGCACTCTAGAATCTCTGGGTCCTACCCAAACTGAACAAACTCTTAGAGTTGTTTGCTCTCAGGACCGACTGATTGGAGACAGCCCTTGAAACGCATCTCCCATTAAAAGAGAGATTGTCATGGGAACTTCCCTTATTAGCCTCATGAACACTCTTGTAAATCAATCAATTTTTCTGCTCCCACCCATTCTTCCTTAAGTGATCCTTTTATCCCTTCTTCATCTCTCACCTCAACACACTCTCTGGCAGACATCTTGCTTCTGCTAGGTTTGGGAACACCTTTTATGACTCATATTTATTATTTCAGCAAGATGCTCTTTGAGGCTTTAGTGGGTTTTATCTGGCCTTTCTTTAAGTTTTCGTTTAATTTTCCAGAATATCTGTTCTTTTCTATTTTTTTTCTTCCAGATATGATCTGTATTTTTTTAAAGAGATATCTTTTTTACTCATGCAACTTCCTTTTTTTATGCTGTTTCACTTTTCTGGGTTTTAGGAAGAGAAAACAGAAGGGACCTTCAGAAATCTAGCCTGGTAGGCAAAATATATTCGCTCCTTTTTATACTGTTTTTACTTTCTCCTGAACAAGTATCATCAATCTTACCTAGTTCCTGTTCTGAAAATTAAGCATCACCACTATAGATACTTTTGAGCATACGAATGGTCACTATTCCCAAGTGATTGTCTCTCACCCCAGGTCCTGTACACAGCTGTGAACCAACTGCTATTTCTTCTCCTGTGACTTTTCCAACAACCCCTCCAAAAAGCGGCTGCTTGGGAGTGAAAACCACCTCTGCCCATTGCATCCCTTTCCTCTGCTACCTCTTCTGTCTCTCATTGCTAAATTTCTACTTGAGAGAGCAGGCCACTGGGTTATTCAGCTGTATCCCAGATTAATGCCCGCTGACACCGGGCTTTGACGCGGTTGGGCCAGAACATCCCTTTCAGACCCTTTTCTGTGTCGCAGTCTATGTTCTAATTAGCTTGTTCTTTGCTTCTCCTGTTGGCTCTATGCTACTTCAGTACCTTTGGCTTCTCTAAGAGAAATCCCTGCTGCCTTTGAAGCCATCTTGATATTCAAAATCCAAAGGATGATTCACGTTTTGATTTTTAACTAAATATGCATGATACCTGAGAAAGAACAAAAATATATACGTTACTAAATACATTTACACTGTTAGTGCACAATCAAAAGACTTGCGCACTTCTGTAGAAACTATGAAAACTGCTATTTCTAAAGACATGCTAGTAATCTATAATCTTTTTTTAAGGTTTTTTTTTTTTTTTTTCCTGTGTGAACTTTTCCAGGTCAGTCTTTAATGAGAACATTATTTTTTCTTAGAGATGGGGTCAGCAATGTGGTTTGGTGGGTTTTTTAGCCTTAAGAAAGAACTGTTTGTTCTTTTTTTGTTTCCCTCTCACCTAAAACCCAATTTTCTCTACTGCCTCAAAAATATGTGTGTTTAGAAGCTACAATTCTTTTTTTTCCAGTTTTCACTTGTGCAAAGCAAACGCATAACCTGATACAACTAATTACCCAACTCATAATATATGAAAGAATCAAGTCCCAGAAAACCAGGAAAACAAATTTCCTATTATTGACATTTTAACTTATTATTGGAACAAATGAGGTATTAAAATAAGAGAGGAAATTAAAAATGATGATGGAAATAGCCTAGGAGAAGGAGAATATATTTAAGCTTTGTAGTGAAATTTGTGTTTAACTCACTGAGTGGGACTCATTCTGTACATGAGGAACATTCATTCGCCATGCCGTTCTTTTTCAGAGACAAATCCACTAATAATAGATGCTATATTGGGTTTGTCTTGAGAGCTAAATTAA